TTCCGGCTAACACTAAAAGAGTGTAATAACTCAAAGTACTCAATTATGATTTTTAAAAGAAGGATGTTTAAAAACTAATCAAACATTAGAGAATTTATTAATTAACCTATTTTCACAGGATCAGATTTGACAAATTTGCATCAAAATAATGTGGCTCAAACCATAAAATCGGGGCTGGGGTTTAGCTCAGCGGCAAAGCGCCTGCCTGGCAAAAGCAAGGGCGTGAGTTCGGTTCCCGGTACCGGAGAAAAACAAACAAAAAAAAAAAAAACAAAAAAAAAACCCCCCAAAAAAACCAAAACAAACCACCACCAAAAAAAAAAACCCCATAAAATCAAAACCATCAACTCGGGGCTGGGGGTTTAGCTCAGCAGCCCAGCGCCTGCCTGGCAAGCGCAAGGTCGTGAGTTCGATTCCTGATACCCGGAAAAAAAAAACCCCCAAACCCCATCAACTCATTTGTCTCCCATCCTGCCTCCATTCCCATACTGGGTGACTGAGTAACTTTTATTCTGAGGGATGATCTGATTGTACGAGACACTTGACTAAATGACCACGAAGGAAAAATAAGGCTCTTTCTTTGTTTTCGACTTATTCCAATGCTTAAAAGATAAAAAGGAAAGACAAAAAGGCTCTTTTGTTCTGTTGTTTCTTGTCAACCACAAGAAATATCATTTGCTGAAATAGGTTTCTCTGCCTTTTTTTCTTTCATAAAACTTGAAAGTATAAAATCCTACGTTTACAGAAATACATGTATATATTTTGCGCACCAGCACCCTTGTAAAGTGAAAGTACGTTTTGTTCATTTGTTTCAGTGCGCTACGCTTCTCCCCCTGGTACCGGGAATCGAACTCACAATCTTACGCTTGCCAGGCAGGCGCTTTGCCGCTGAGCTAAATCCTCAGCCCCATTATGTCTTTTTTTTTCCTTTTTGGAACCAGGAATCGAACTCAGGACCTTGTGCTTGCCAGGCAGGCGTTTGTACTGCCGAGCTATATCCCCAGCTCTGTGCTTCCCTTTACTTTTCAAAACTCCTTAAGATTTTCTCTCATGGCACACTTTTCTTCTAATACTTCAAATTTTGACAGGCAGTATAAAAAAAGGCTGCACCTTTTGCCCTTTGAGAGCACCGTAGTGACTAAACAGCATATCAAATTTTGATATGCATTGAAATTCAACAGCATTGAAATCACTTCAGCAGTGACATCCCTGATGAAATGTGCATGCATGGTGCATCACCACACAGTGCATTCCGAGAGCTTTGACTTCGCTGTGAGAGGGAGAAGATTCCTAGAAGTCTGTCACAGTAACTGCCTCTGTCAGCAAGTAGTGAAGGGCCGAGTCTCCCTTGTTAAGAAAGGCCTTACCTTTTTCTTAGGGTGGGAGACTGACAGATGATCAGTACTGTGGGATGAGTTGGGCCTTGCTGCTCTACTACTATTCAGGGCAGGTGCTAGGACCACTTTCACCCAAATGGGAAAATAAAAACTGAGTTGAAGAACAATGATTTCTTTGTCTTTTGTTTGCAGTTGACATTTCTTCATGCTTCATTCTTAGGTCAAATATTGCTGCTAAATAACAGCAGCATAGGTATGTAGTTACTAGTTATAGTCCCGTATTTTCATGTTTTATTATTATCATTATTTTTACACATACGGGTCACAGATAGGCAAGGTGGTGCACTCTGGGAAGCTGAGGCAAAAGCATTTCGAGTTTCCACTTGGAGCCCATCCTGGGCAACTTAGCAACACAGGGAAACACTGTCCGAAAAAAACTATAGGGCTGGAGAGGCAGCTCAGTATAAATGTCCTGGATGCCAATCCCAGTCCTGAACATTAAAAATAAGCCTGGTTTTCTGATAAGCCACTAAAACCATCTGCCTCTTTCTACACTTCAAGTGAGCCCGACCTGTTCTCACCAGCCCTCCTCTGAGGTTGGGAGTTCTTTCTCGAAGACAAAGTCTGAAATCACCTGAGTAAAATTATGGACCCATTTTTAGAATGAAGAAGCAGGAAACTTCCACCAAATACAGTGAGAAAGCTGATTCCTGCTCCAGAACGATAGGACCAAGCACACTTTAAAGACAATGGTACACAAGGTGGGCCATTTCCATAGCGCAAGTGTAACGCACGAATGGCATCTGTCACTGCTTGTCAGCCCAGATAAGGGATAATTTTCCCTGTCCCATCAGTCTCAGAGGTTTGGTCTTTCATCCTCAGCTGTTGTGAGATGCAGGAAGGCTGCATGAGCTGTGCATTATAGAGCAGGAGAAGGAGGTAAGGACCATTCAAAACGCAGACTTTAGCCCGCCAATATAGCTCAGCGGCACAAGCGCCTCCCTGGCAAGTGCAAGGTCCTGAGTTCGATTCCTGGTAGCCAAAAAAAAATGCTGTCACTGGGATGCGGCGTCTTCCTTTAGTGTTTCGCTGCCATATTCCAGACTCAGCGTCATCTGCTGAGAAAGGGCCCAACAATTTGAGCCTTCCTTTCTGGATGACTTCTTCAGACTTCAGGAATCAGTTACACAAAGAAAGAACCTAGAGACAGGAAATGTGAGTGAGGGGCCAGCTGCTCTGAGATAGATACAAATGGACTTGATTTGATCTGATGAATTTTGGGTCTCCCCATGAAATCTGTGAAGTCTGTGACCTGTCCTCTGTATGCGCTTAAACCTGGTCAGTTCAGGTCTGTGCCATGGGGCTTGACTGGCAGTGGGGAGTCCAATGTCTGGTCCTGTTTCTGTTTCAACTTCAGCCTCAGGCAAAATGGTACCTATTTGAAATTCTCCTGCAGCCCTGTGTCTTGTTATGCTTTCCGATGACTTCTTTAGCTCATGTGGAGACTACAGGCTCATCTGTAGTTTATGGATGGAAAAAGATACGGCTCATGCATACCCAGTCCCTGCTCTGTCTCAAGCGCAATCCAGATTGCCCTGCAGTTTCTACATATTTGGGAAGCAAAGTATCACGTGTTTGACCTGTGTTCAAATTCAAAGATTTCTTTAAGGTGGCATTAAATCCGTGTTTGCCAGATAATCTCCACATGGACTTACACAAGTACTCATGATTTGGTTTCCAGAGGTTGTGGAGCTTGTTGCTGTCTCTGATATAATCATTGCCATGGAATATTTTTTGACCTTGTTTCACAAATATAAATGCTGACTGAGGTAGGTCATAATTTTCTTGGAAAGAATTATGAAATTGGGGAAATGTTGAATGTATGCTCGACCAGGGTTGGACTTTTCCTTAACTCCCTTTTTTTTCTTTCGGTACCGGGGATCGAACTCACGACCTTGTACGTGCCTGGCAGGCTCTGTACCGCTGAGCTAAATCCCCAGCCCCTGGAGCTAAATCCCCAACCCCTTTATCTCTTCAATTGACTTTAAGCAATGCAAATCAGCCCAGCCCAGGTGCTGATGGTCGCCATTGTTCCTTGGACCTCCCACCCCAGTTATTCCCTGGTGTGAGCCAGAATGAGGCAGAGTAAAAAGCCAGGGCTCCATGCTGTGGGCTGGGATCTAGCCTGGAGATAAGAGGCTATGGCTTCCCGGGACTTGAAAGATTATACATCAGAGCTGAAGCACAGATCCCCCGCCCCCAAACATTAGATACCATCTCAATTGTTTTATGGATCGCTCTTTCTGCATATCTTCCTCTCTACATATTGCAGAGGTGATACTGGGCCCCCTACGTAGGCTAGCTCACAGCACTCACCTACTTCCTACCTTTAGATAGACCCTCTGAATAGTATCTCTGACTGTCGATCAACAACTACGACCCCTTTCAGCCTAAAGAAGCCAGAACAGTTATCCCCCGTTACTCCTTCACGGCAGTTCGGGTTACTTCTTCAGAGGGGGAAATGTTACATGCAGCTGAGTTAGAAATATTATAGGTAGTCAGACAGGGCCAGGCCCTTGAAGGAGCCAACATGAAAGAAGATATGTGTTTGCTGTGGGCCACACCTCAAGACAAAATATTAAACAAATGCACCCACATACCTCCCTAGGTGTAAACATCAGGGACTGATATTCTAAATAGTAGCAACTATCTTCAAAAAGCCAGGAAGTGTCACTAGCCCAACCCCCTGTGGGAAAATCCCCTGTTCTGTATTCATGCCCCTTGCTACCTGACTCGCTTCCCCATTTGATCCCAGTTTACTCATATTTACCTAAACAGTTATACTCGTAATCTTATTGGCTGACCATAGTTTTGTCCCACCTCATGCCCACCTTGTAATTCCCATTTTCCCTATCTTGGATCCCCCACTCCCGTATCTGGAATCGAACTCCCGACCTTGCCCTTGCGCTTGCCAGGCAGGAGCTGTGCCACTGAGCTAAATCCTAGTCCCTCACCTTGTGGTTTCGCTCTATAAAGTCCCTAGAAAAGACAGTCTTGGGCAACCCACTCGGGTTCCCCTTCTGTTCCTCTCTTGGAAAGATGCTCTCTTTCCCTCAATAAATATATTCTGCTCTTAACCTCCGTTGTTCCTAAAATTCAGTTTTTGATTTTAGTGAACACAAACTTGTCCCAGACATCATTCACTTTGGGAGTTTTTATATTCCTGTATCATTTGTCTTGGGCTGGCCTGGCCTTATAAAGTTTTCTGTCATCAAGGGATTGGTTCTTCCATAGGACATTCCCATGTGAACCTTCTGAGGACACAGGGGACCCTGAAAGAGAGCATGTTGTGTCCTTTAAGAAACCCAGGGAAGCTTTGGAAAGCCAGGAGTAAAACCCTTAAACTAAGTATTAATCAGGTGAGGCGAGAGGCTGGGGATTCAGCTCAGCGGCACAACCCCTGCCGGGAAAGCGCAACGTCGAGAGCTCGATTCCCGGGACCGGAAAACAAAACAAAACAAAACAAAAAATCAGGTGAGGTGAGATTGACTTGACAGGAAAGGGACAGGTCCAGGAGCCAATAATCGCAAAGGTGCAGGCTGGCTGAACTACCCAATCAGGTGGGCCAAGGGAGGAGGGCACTTCCTCAGTCTCCTTGCAGAAATGCTTAATATGAGTTCAATGCTGAGAGCACACAGATGACTAGACATCTTGTTTCTGCGATTTCTTCTTATGGTGGGCTGCCAGAATCCTTGGAGACACTCAAGCCACGCAATGGTAATTTTATGGGATGTGAGCTGGGAGTGGGGTAGATTTGTGTGAGTTCTGGAAGGAAGCGGCCAAAACAAGTTGTAGCAGTCTAGAGCCTCCATGCTTATTTCCGGACACTGAGGGCTTCCTACCACTTTGGTCGTGCTTTATGATCTGGCCCTTTTCCCCGTGGCTTAGGTCAATTTTAGTTCCCCTGCATACTGCCCCCACTGTGACACTGTAAGCACAGAATTCCTTCTTGGGCAGCTCCAGGCACACCGGTATCCCCACCAATTTGAGGAGTAGAGTGCTTTGGGGGCAAACCTGGGTTCGGTCCTCAAAATGAAAAAAAAAAATTATTCTTTGAATGACTTATTTGAGATTTCCAGTCACAATGATATTTCTGCGTAAGTAGAACTCGTAATCTCACAACATTATGCAGTGAGACCTGGAACCTCATAAGGAAAAGAGAACTCCTAGATTGCCAGGGTGCGTCCAAAGTGAGTAGTCATACCAGCTGTGACACATGGCTCAGTGGATTTAAAGTAACCCCTCTTTCTTTCTTTCTTTCTTTCTTTCTTTCTTTCTTTCTTTCTTTCTTTCTTTCTTTCTTTTTGGATACAGCGTTTATGTGCCTAGTCTGGCCTCAAACTCCTGGCCATCCTCCTTCTTCAGCCTCCAGTGTGCTGGAATTACAGTCATAAGCGTGGAAAACCAGCTAAAACAACCACTTTGAACCCAGGCAAATTTTCTTTTTTTGACACATTTTCTTTTTTCTTTTCTTTTCTTTTTTTTTTGCCTTTTTTTCAGTCAAAGTCTCGCTATGCACTTCAGGCTGCCCTTTAGCTCACTTTGTAGCCCAGGCCAGTCTGGAACTCACAACATCCTCCTATCTCAGCCTCCTGAGTGCTGGGATTACAGGCTGCACCACCATCCCCGGCCTGTAACATACTTTCTAAACATGCAGGGTCTAAAGGAAACAGGTTTTAGTGACTAACTGCCTGTTTTTACTCTAAATTTCTGGAAATTCAGGAGCTTAGTAGTTAGCAGCTGCAACTTTAGTAGAGAGGAATCTGCATTGTTCATGGTGGGAGAAATTTCACCACTGATTCAAAGTCCTAGGTCATTGTTTTCTCATTTTAATTTGAATCAAAACCACTACTTTCCCAACTTGACTTCTGGCCTGTTCCTGAGCTAGTTGCCTTATTTTTAAACTAACTACCTAACCTGTGCTTTGTAATTGGAGTGCTAAGTGAGGCATTGCCTAGAGTTTTGAATGCAGAGAAATACGCAGGGCATGATGATGTATTAGCTCATGAGGGGAAAGTGTTTCTGCCGAGAACAACTTCCTGGAGGTGCTGCCTGTTAATCCGACTGGATTAACTGAAGAAACACAGGGACCTTCAGGATCTACAGGGCTGTATAGATGTGATAAATATATGAGCGGAAAGGGAAATGGGTGGCTTCTCTGAAATAATTGCTGTAGTCCTTGGACGTTGTGTCTAGACATTGAGTTAAAAATCGAAACACTGATTGAAATGGAGTTTGTACGGAACAACTACACAAGTAGCAGTGTATTCCCACAGTTAAGATCTGCGTGCATATGAAAGAATAAGAACAAAAGGGCTTTTTGAATAAGAAGAGCCAAGGGGATTAAATAGGAAATGGAGAGCAGGGGAATTTGCAAGGGGGCCCAATCAGCAACCAGAATAATAAATTACTTCTGAAGTGAGTTTGACTTAGTGCAACAATATTGAATGATTTTCTGTTTGCTTGGTGAAAGTAGGAAAAATGTCACAGGCCTGTAGAAAGGACGGAAACTTAGTCATAGATAAATATTTCGTCTGTGTCTAATGATGAGCTCAACTAATCAGTTTTGAGGTAAGATAGGAAATTAGAGCGCTAGTCTGAAAATATGTTGAGCATCACAGCTGAAGTAGAACAGGAAAGAGTTTCTGTTGGATACTGAAGATTTCAAAGCATGTTTGATATATCTTACTGTTCAGGAGTGAACTCAAAAATTTTGCTTTTACCTACATCTTTCAAAATATGAAAGAAAAAGTTTTATACCTTAAGACCAAATCTTACTAATTGGCCCAAGGTGCTGTGATCTTTTGATACTGTTGCCATCTCCTTTCTTTTTTTTTTTTTTTTGCGGTACGGGGATTGAACTCACGACCTTGTGGTTGCCAGGCAGGCGCTTATGCCACTGAGCTATATCCCCAGCCCATGTTGCCATCTGCTTGATGACTCTGTTCACAGACATGTGCTAATTTGTTAGTTATAAGGTTGTACTTCTTTTTTGGGGTGGGGCCAGGTCTTATGCTGCAGTTCAGGCTGGCTTTGAACACTATGTAGGCCCAGGTTGTCCTTGACTTAAAGAATCTTTTGCCTCAGCCACTGGAGAGGGAGGATTTCAGGTGTGCACCAATATACCTGGGAAATTTTTTGGTTTATTTATTTTTGGTTCAGGGAATCAAACTCAGGGCATTGTGACTGCCAGGCAGGTGCTGTACCGTTTAGCTACATGTCTGGGCATCTCATGTAGTTGTACTTAAGTCACCAGGTTTTACCAAGATTTCAGAGTTTGGATAAAGTAGACCTCACTGAGGCGTGGTGATGCACAATTTTAATGGCAGGCACTTGGGAGCCTTAGGAGTATTAAAATCAACGAGGCCACCCTGGATAACTGAGGAAGACCACTTTTCAATGAATATTGTGGGTTTATGGTCACTCATAATTAATTTTCCTGTGTCCCCGAGGCCCTAAGCTAAGTCTCTAGAAATTACGAAAAAAATTTTTAATCTTACATTTAATTTTAAAATGTGCTCATTGTTCACACTAGTGGTACATGGCAGAATGTAAAACCAGACTTCCTCGTGTTGGGGGCAGCAGTAATGGGTCTCTGGTTGCTCAGAAACAGGACACCATGGGTGAATAACCAGGGATTTACAGTGTGCTGCATTCAGTAATGTACACGTTATATTTAGTGTTCTGTTGTAAATTTGGCTTTCTGTTCTGTAAAATTCCTGAAATACAGATCAAGGTATGTGTTTAAAGGATTTAACACTTAGCAATGATATGTGCCTAAGCCGGTTTATTTGTGTGCATTTTCAAGCTACTTTGTCTTTAGTTACCTTTAGGTTGGTCAAGTCATTTTCCCTTTGAAACTCAGATATCACCTATTGAGTCATTCCTTGAAGTCTACACATAGTCCCCTTTAGATCATGAGCCTTAGCTAATTACTGTCATTTTGGAAAGTTGTATTAACCTGTTTCTTCTAAGCAACTAAATCAGGAGAACAGTGTAATACTGTAGGGAAAGGTGAACACTATTCTGTTTTTTGGTTGTTTGTTTCCTTGAATTTTTATTATTATTGTTATTATTATTATTGTTATGACAATAATAATTATTATTGTTATTGTTATTATTATTATTATTTATTTATTATTAACTTAGCTCATAGTATTTGATATATATCACCCAAACAGGCAAAGGACTGGAAATTTTCTATTGACAGAGACATTGCTGAGTATTTAACATGAGGGTTAGGGTTAGGGATAGTCATAACAAGTATTTCCATAGTGTGCATTTAAATGTCATCATATGCCTGTAACACAGCTTCAGATATTTAATTTTAATTGAATGGTGTGATTCAGCCTCAGAAATATTCAAACTTTGGCCAGTTTCACTTTTTGAAAGGTCAAGGAGGGGTTGGGAATATAGCTCAGCAGCTCAGTGCCTGCCTGGCAAGCACGAGGTCATGAGTTCAATTCCGGGTACCAAATAAAAAAAAGGAAAAGAAAAAAGAAATGTTGAGGAAAAGGAAGGTGCTAGAAGTTTTTATAGAAGTGACTACATGCATTAGTTGTGTGCATGTACAAAAATAGTTTATAAAGATGAATAGACCATGTAAATCACTAGGTTTAGAGCGTTTTCATAACTCTGGATTCTTCTGTGATCTAGGGTAAAGTAATGTGACATTCATGGATATTTTGTCCCAGTGATAGGAAAGTGCCAAAGACACCTAAATATGCTAAATTTGGTAAAAATTTAAATAAGAGATCTGAAATTAATGAGTTGTATCCTCCAATCTGGGCATCACTGTCATGATGATAAATTCCAAAATTAACAAATACTCCCCAACAATTCCAAAGTCATGATAGTGTTTAAAAATCACATAAAAATTGAAACAAATTTAGCATTAGCTATGATGAAAATCAGTGTTAAGTCGCTCACCAAGCTTGTGAAAACTTCTGCCGTACATCCATAGACACGCAATAATTCAATAAAGTGATGGATTCGTTAGCTTTGCCCACATCTGTTTTTTTTTTTGTTTGTTTGTTTTTGTTTGTTTTTCTCTGGTACCGGAACCGAACTCACACCCTTGTGCTTGCCAGGCAGGCGCTTTGCCGCTGAGCTAAATCCCCAGCCCCTGGATTCATTAGCTTTGATAGCTTATAATGCTAAAAGTTTGAGGATATACTAGGAATTTAAATAAGGGGAGATAACTAGATCATTGAGAGTTATTGGACATAGTTCAAAAAAGTCATGCTGAATGAGGTAGAACTTTGATCGTACTTTTCATACTTTTTTCCTATGTGTTTTTTTTTCTCTTTTTTCTTTTTGTCTTTTTGAGACAGGGTCTTGCTAAGCAGTTCAGGCTGGCCTTAAGCTCACTTTGTAGCCCAGGCTGGCCTCGAACTCGCAACGATTCTCCTGCCTCAGCCTCCCGAGTGCTGGGATTACAGGCCTGCGCCACCACGCCCAGCTCTCCTATGTGCTTTTTTTCCCATTTTTTTCTTTACTCATCTCAAAACCATATTATCTTTGTCTTTTAAATCTTACATTTTAAACTAATTAGACATTTAGAGAAAGAAGTGAATTTTATTTCATAACACATGAATAAATGTGGATTTAACAGGCAGCCCAATTGGAAGTTGTCAGTTACACCACAATTTCACTTTTCCTTATTTAAACTCCTAAAATATCCTCAAATTTTCACTGTTATAAGCTATAAAAGCTAA